CCTTTTGTGGGACTTCTATTCAGAATGCATATGCTGTTGAAGGCATTCCCTGGATTAGTGTGCCACGTAAAATTTGGGAATGAAGAAAAAATTGGATAAGTCCTTCATCAAACTAGTGATTGGAATTTTTAAGCCTAAAGTTCTTCATCAATTAAATTCTTATCAATAACTAGTCATTTCAAAATGCAATTAGGGAAGGCCTCCTTGTTATGTTCATTATATTTGTTCGTTATATTCATAACCAATCTACCATACCTTTGTACTTTGTGAAATTTTTACAAAAACATTAAACAAATAGGCACTTATGTTTAAACACATGCTTTAAAATTTTTAGCTGCTGTGAGACTCTTAGTGATGACTCCAGCAAACCCTTGCATTATAACGGGTAGATGGATGACTCAGTAATGAGCTTGGTTCCCATGACAGAGGACCTCAATCAAGATTAGCCAAGTGAAGCATATATTTTCAAGTGCAAGCTCTGGCATGCTCAGGCTAGAAGCCCCCTTTGAACATAGCCTTCTAATTGTAAGATTTTTGGGGTGTTACAAAAAAAAACCAATATGGTAAAGGCCACTCCTTTGTTTAACCCTCTCTTGCACATAGCATAATAGGGTGTAGTGGAATACATATTGGCCTCTTGCACATTGTGTAGTAGAGTGTGCCTGTACTTTAAGACTATGTGACAGCTCTATACTACTCATGGAGTTCCACTCAGTTGTTTTGAAAATTTGATTCTGCTGAAATAAATGGGTTAAAAATGCCAGAAAAGTCACATATATGTTTCTGTAATTAGCTGTAACATCAAACCAAAGCTGATCCTGTTTCTGCTGCTAGATTAGAGCTCCAATCAATACACCATTGTGGTTTCATATTGAAACAGTTACCCTGTGAAACCTCTCTGATCCCAGAGGATAACTTACCCAATCCAACCACCTGAGCAAAATAGAGTCTGTCTAGGGATTATAGGGAAGTCAGATGTTACATGGAGTGAGAGGAGGTTACATGCTTGTGGGTTTTATATGAGAGGGAGGATTAGATCAATTGCTGATGTCAAGGTAATATTCTCAGATTTCTGTGCCTTGCGGGTTTTTTTCCTGACTGTACCTCAAAACCTTGTTTTTCATGCTATTTATTAGAGTTAGGGCTTGAGCTTCAGGATTTCAAAAAGTCTTCTGAGAAACTCCTGACATTTCCCATTGGCACTGACACACATACTTTGGTATGTGAGACAAATAGCTTCCTTCCATTTAAATAACTTTTAAACCATTCATGTATATCAGATGCTGCAATAAGATCCCCTTCATCACAGAGAGATTTCAATAGTATGCCAAAGCAAAGCAGGATCTACCATGACATCTGTACTAACCCACGTGAAAATTTCATATAAGACCATATATGAAATGGCCATATATTAAACCAGCCCAACATATATGGGGCATATATGACCATATAGTGCAATTCATATATGAACATATATGAGGTTTGACACAAGTCACATAAAATCATATGAGACTGAAAACATATATGATCCCATACATTTTCATATACAAATATGAAATGCACCATATACTGTCCTTATATGCCATGTCATATCTATGTATGGTGACATTACCTAAAACATGCCTATATCCAAATAGGGTCCATAATCCATCAGATACAGTATGATCATTCATATGCAAGTCGCCATACCTTACTTGCAATCAACTCATTTTTAATAGTTCATAGACCACAGTCAATTACTCCAAGAACTCATGTTTCATGGTGTTCAACATATGCACCCTTGTTAATGAAGGTGAACGTTTCAATATTATAGACTTTAACCTCCAAAAGTATTTTAATCAGTAATGCTATTTCATAACAAAACTTGGCTTATTCAGGTAGGAGTGTCGTTTTCATCTTGACTGACAACTCACAAGATAGATGAGAAAAGAACCTGTTTCTTCCTGAAATAATCCAATGAAGGAATTGTTCAATGAAGGCATGACACGACATGTGCCCCCCACTTAACAACAAAAAATGTATTAATACAAAGAAAAAGATTCATGAAATGGATAACAGCATCCCAGAGTTCTTGTGCCCCCCCCCCCCCCCTCTCTCTCTCTCTCGTCTTTGACTCCTTTTAATTTGTTCCTAGTTCTTTCAGCCTTAGAAAGGCGTCTGAACAAGTCTCTGTCTTCTTGGAAGTTGCCAAACTAAGGAAGAAGAACGATGGTAGAGGCTTTTCTGTTGACGAGAAGGAAGATCCCGGCTGTTTGTTTTCGTAGCATGGCCATCTCCTATGGTCCTTGTTAGTGCTGTACAAGGGAGCCTTTTAAGAATCCATCCCCTCTCCCCCTTCTCTCTTCTTTCTCTCCCCCCCCCCCCTTCTTTTCTTACGTATTTTCTTGGTCTTCCCTGGTTTACTTTGAGAACCTTCGCCTTCAAGGGTCTTTTTGGGAACGGGGTTCGTCATTTAGGATTGACATAACAAAAGCTGCAATTCTTGCACGCTTGCTTGGGCTCATGAATCTTGGTATCTGTACGAATATATGCTCGAAGTCTTCTAGAGGAAATTCTGTTACAAATGTCGGGTTAAGGTTACAAGAAGGCAATCGACCGAAGTATGTCATGTCCTTCAAGCAAGTTATACCAGGGAAATTGAGGGTAGAAGCAGCAAGGAAGGGATTTTTGCTTTGTTTATGTGGAGCGTGTCCCGAGGGGGTGGAAGATGAAGATGAGGAGGAGCATCTGGTGGATTTTCTTCTCTCTCTCCCTCCCCTCTTGTGTATGTCCTTTGTACGGACACCTTGTTTATTCCTCCCCTACCGACTTGTAGATCAACCTGGCACGTGGGGAAGAAAACTTGCCCCAACAGCAACAATTTTTTACCCATTCGAAAACTTGTCCCTGAAGGGGTGTGGCGTGGAAACAAGGCCGTCATTGTTTCGGGACTCAATCACACAGGATCTCATTTTTCATGGAGAGGAGAGAGAAAGGTCCGCTATAGAGTCGTCTGTGTTCTCACATGATGAATGGTTTCCGACTTCCCCTGAAACGCCATAGGGAGTCTTTCACACCTTCGTATTCACCGTAACGATCCCTTCGTCGTCTAGGCGAGACGAGACGAAAAGGAGAGAATGATGCAAAGAAAAGGAAAAAGATTGCGAATCCGCGGAAAGGCAAGAAAGGGAGAAAAACTTGGGGCGGAAATGAAATTTCCCGGATTGGTGATCGGAATACCAAGAGGAAGGAGACTTTCGATATTTCCTGCAGGAAAAGAGATTTGGGGGATGGTCATTAGCAGCAGAGCAGAAGCTTTCTCTCCTCTCTGTCTCTTCCTCTCGCCGATTCGGAGATGAACGTCGGAACATAAATATGAGGCGAGGAAAAAGAGGGGAGACCCAATATCGTGCCAACGTTGCCCCTTTCGCGCTGCTCGGTATCCTGGAAATGATGAATCCCATTACTTTTCGGTCGTTTTTGACTCTTGGGCTGCAAGTTGAGATTATTTTCCAGAAAAAATTAAGTTTTTGGAAGCTGAGTAAATCGCAGCCTGGAACATAAACCAAGTTAATGAACTACAGAATGGCTTTGGTTACAATAAAAAATGTAAATCTGAAAATTCCCGAACTTGAACGAAATGCAATACGATCCCAGTAAAATCCTGGATGAAGGAAGAAATAGGGGGAGGGGGCGTAGTTGTAGGACGTTGGGAGGGGGGGGGGGATGTAATCGTGTCCATGAAAGAGGCTGGCAGATGGTACGGAATGGCCATGAATGGGGGCTCAGACACATCTCAAGTACACCCGATGCCACCTTGTTATGGCCTCTCCAGACCCATCCAATACAATATGACTCTTCCTTACTTCCTTCCCCCTCTCCCCTGTTTTAAATATCATTCCTCTGTCGGGCGGCGTTTTGTGTATATAGAGGGTTCTTTTCCGCCTTGCATGGTCTCCGTGCATATAAAAATATGCTTTTGGATTCGAGAATCATATAAGAGAGAAGGAGAGGAGGGGGGAGGCGAGGAAATGTACTTCTTAAAGGCCTCCCTTCTCTCCCTCTTCTCCCCTCCCCATCTTCGGCCCCTTGGGGTAGGCTATTGAATCCCAAAATTCGCGGGGTTTTAACATTCGCGATTCCACGAACTCCTCTTTCCTTTCCCCACATTGAAGCTAGCTTTTTGGTTGAGAAGTATCCACGGTCTCCCCTTTTCACCCCGAATGCCTGCTGATTGATTTCTGATATTATTACTATCGAAATTTCTTGATTTTCTTCTCCATGGATGGCGCTTCTATATTCCCCCCTGCTTGTAATAGGAGCCCTTGTGTGTGTGTGTATGTGTGTGAGTGCATGAGTGTCTCTGTGGGAGGAACAGGGAGGAAAAGGAGCTCAGTGTTGTAGTTGAACGTCTTTCTGCCTTCAGTGGGTGGAGAAATCGCTCGAGGGTGTATGTTGTTGTATGTGTGGAACATGAAGTGATTTTTGTTCTGATTCGAAAAGCCAAGCATGTTCTCCACCTACGTCCCCTTCGTAAGCCTTGTTTCTCATCAACGAGCATCTGTATAGGTGTAGAAAAGGGCGTGGGTTCATGCACGTGTTAGTGTATGCCTTAAGGTGGGACTGGGTTGGCTCCACACCCAAGGCCGACTGCTTTTTTTTTCCCCCTCCTCTCACCCCCATCTCACTACACGCCTTGGGTCACGTATTCTTAATTGATAGATTTTCTCCGTCTCGGAAGAGCGGGTCGTGAAATATTGGGAGACGAAGGGGGAGGGAAGAAAGGAAGGAAAAATGAAAACGAAAAGTCGGGGGAAGGAAAATTAATGAAATCTCGCCGATGAATGAATGGATGCAAATTCCTCTTCAATTTATAACGCGAAACTTTTTTCTCTCCTTCTTTCCTGCCCCGGCGTTTATTAGCGAAAAAGAGTTGGGGCTCGAGGAGATGAGGCAGAGTTTCTTTGCATGCATGATTAATAGAGTCGGAAGGGGGAGGGGAAAAAAGCAGGAAGGAGCCTCGTTCTTCAAGATGACGCACCTCATTCCTCTCTCCAAATGTGACTCCCTTTTTTTCTCTCTTCCTTTTGATTCGGCACGAAGATCTAGGTTTGATTAAAAGCCTTCCAGGTCTCGAAATTGTCACCGCTTCGTTATTATGGACTCCCTTCCCGTTTTCAATTTGCATCTATATGCCCAGATGTCGCTTCCCCTCTTCCATATATCCATTCTCGCGTTCTCCCATGTATAATCATTCAGCGCGCCCTTAATTAAAATCCCAGCCGGAGCTCTAATTAGCTGTCGTGCTTCATCCATAGATCCCCCCTTCTCTCTCTTTCCTCCTTCGTCCTATAATCGCGCGATAATAAATTATTTAGGCGGATTTAGAGACGGTGAATTATTGCAGCAGTGGTTGTTACTTGAAGGTGCGAAGAAACCCATTAAATATATACACGTGAAAGCCTATCAGAAATTGCATTGCAGGTGATGGAAGTTGATTTTAACGGGTTGTTGAAGAAGATTGAAATAGTATACTATAGCGCGTGGAACCGGGAAAATATGAAATTTACATAAGAGAGGAATGTCTCTGTGGAGGGAAGCCCCTGGGGAAACCGTGCAAAATTGGATTCCTCTGGTCCACTTTCATATTGGAATCCAGGGCGGATTCAATGAAGATTCGCTCTATCTTGATTCATGGGGAAGACGGGGATTTAGACTGAGAGATGGGAGGTAGAATTCTGTCCCACTGTGGTGTTTCGAATGCTTTTAATGGATTGGCTGTTCGTGGTCTCGATTTTCTTTTAATTGGATTGGTGTCCTCGTTTGTGTGTTTCAGTACGCGCCAGAGGAGTTTGGTCAAGACTCTCCCAGGTACACGTCCCCGAAACCAAATGCGAACCTGTACGGTGACGCCTACTTCTTGGGTTTGTTACTTTTCTTTTTTCCAATTCTGCAAATTTTTAAAATAATGAAGTTGCATTGATTTCTTTGCTATTCGCCTCTTGATATGCATTAATTGAACAGACGGAGGTGGGGGTGGTGGTGAAGGGGATCCATGGAATCCAAGCGGTCACCTGACCAATTCTTCCTATCCGCCTTACAGTACAAGCCAGCCTTACCCAGCCAATGCGACTGCTTCGGTCCTTCCAGAACCCCTGGTAAGCTGTCATCCACTGGATGCGACTATTTTAAAAATTCACCAATGTAGATTCCTAGCGATTTAATGTCTTCCACTTTAGTCCCATGAATCTTGAATGTTTCGCATCCGTCCGGATTAAAGGAAATCTTAGTATGATGCTCAGGAAATGAAAAGTTTACTGGTTCCCTATCGATCACTGTCGGCTGGGTAATAATAGGATGAGATGACGGGATCGGCAGATAAATCGTTATTGGGCACCGATGTATTCTTTTCTCTGGTTTTGTCAACTATTGTCGTGAGTTTAGAGGTTGCCTGGTTTATTTTCAGTTGTATGGAAGTTTGAACCCCGGAGGACCCGGGGAAGTTGTGGGTCTCCCACCGCTCTCCACATTCCGGGGGCCGACGGGGGTGTCCTCTTCCTCGGGCCCTGTGTCATCTAGCCCTCCCCTGTACTCCACCCCGAACCACTCCCATTCCCAGACTGGGGATGCTCTTGGGAAGGCCCTGGCTTCCATCTACAGCGAGGGGGGGCCGGGCGGTGGTCGCGGGGACTCCCTTTATCCCCCATCTTCCAATTCCACGCCGGTGTCTTCGCCTCAACCCCACGGCGGCCCTCCTCTCTCTCAGTGGCCATCCGCTTCTCCGCCCTACGGCCCACCCCCTCCGCACGATCGCCCTCCTCTCCCCCACATGGTGAGAAAACTGCCTACGTTGTAAATGTGGGATGGTAATAGTTCAACTGGATGCAAGAGTTTCTTCATATGCTTCCAAGGAGAATTACATGATGTGCTGCATTACTATATTGAGAGGAATTTTAGAAAAAAAAGCATGTAAATATCCGTGGAAATACTCGAAACACCTCCACGTTTGCATTGGGATAGGGCCAGACTCAGATCATTCCAGAAGTCTTTCGACTCCAGTGATATTCTGGAAGCGGCATCCATCATATTCATGGTTTTCCAGGAACACAAGTTTGGATGTCAGCCAGCCAAACAGTTGGCTCTATTTGTCAGCTGGGATGGACAGCAGCTAATTCATCATCGTGTACCGAAAATGAAAAACCTTATGCATCCAGCTGAACCTTTTTCTTGCACCTTGATAGTTTCCATCCGTAGTCCACTGCACTTGTAGACACCTGTCCTTTTTGTTTCCATCCGATTTTGAGATTTTTTGGATTCTTTGTTTGCTGTCTACCTGGATTGGGTTGGATTGCATGTTGTGTGTGGTCAAACTCACCGTTTTGATTTTTTTGGTTTTTTTTTTTTTCTTCCTGCCTACCCCCTTCCCTTGTCTGGTTTCTTCCCTCTTCCTGCATCTGTCTTTGGTGTGGAATGGTGTTAGACCCCGCTGGTCACATCGTCCAGTCGAGACCCAACCGCGGATTCAGATGCGGCGGGTGTGTCTGTCACTGCACCTGATCACGAGGGCCTTGACGATGCCATCGGAATCCTTCGGAACCACGCTCAGGTATGACCTGCCTGGAATAGTGGAATGTCAGCTCCCATCACCCCCACACCTTTTCGGTTGAAGCATGTATGAATGTGTTGTGGTGTGTGTGGCTGTGTGTTTATATAAGCTCCAAATTGCTCATATCACTCATCAAAGGAAAGCATTGACGTATCGTGTTATTTGGAAAGCAGGTTGGGGGATCATCGAGGATCGAGGAGAGGTTGGATGATGCAATCAACGTCTTGAGGACTCATGCAGAGGCGCAAGGTCTCCTGGGTGCCATCCCCCCACCTCCCCCGCATTTAACTGGGCCCAACAATCTCCTTCCCTACCCTCAGACACCTGGTGCCACTGCCCTTGAACCTCCACCCCACCTCGTAAGCTGCTTCCTTCTGGAGTAGCCTTCGCTATAACTAAATTATATGTCACCTTTTTTGGAAGGCAGATCCATGAGCAGTTGCTACTGCATTAGGCACTGAGTGTCTCAGGTCTGCATTTGCAAAATTAAGCGAAGTTTTTAGCGAGACCCGAGGAATTAACTGTTGAAATATTAACTTAGTGCATTAATATTTTGCCCTGAGTGAGTCGTTTCATTCCTGTCAAAGATATCGTTTGCACATCGTCAATCTCCTTTTGTAGACAAGTCCCCATAACATGGGGGCATCAGGAGGGACCAAGGATGTGCATTCCTTCTCTTCCCTGCCCACGCCATCGGAGGCTGAACACAAGCTCACACCTTCCAACACAAGTGAGTTTCTCTTGCCATTCCATAGCCTCTACCTGACCCCTCAGACTTTAGTGACCTTGTATGCAAATCGTGTACTGCCTACAGAAAAGCGGAAACAGCAAGCAGATGACTCGAAAGACGGGATCTCCACGACGTCTGTGACCTCGGCAGCCTCGGCCACTACCACGACATCTGCATCACAGAAAAGCAAACGCTCAAGGAGATAGTGAGTTATAGTTTTCGCTCTTTAAAAAAACTTAGGACTTCACTGAATAAAATTTTAGTGTTAACCTGTGCCCTGACAGCGCTGAAGATGAAGAGGATCCTGAGATAAAAATGGTGAAGGAGAAGGAAAGGAGGCAAGCAAATAATGCACGGGAGAGGTGAGTTCAGCTCTTAATTGCATCTTTTAAAAAATTTTTCATACGTTTGAAAAATCAAGCAATGTAGCTGTACAGTTTTATTCAATGACTCTTCCCAAGAGGATGGCTCAGCCTGTGCATGATGGTCTTTCCACTCTGGCATGCTTTTTTTTCATACTCCACTCTGCTCTCCTCTGTCCTTTCCTCTGCACTGTATAGAACTCAGTCTCTGCTCTATTTTTTTTTTTTTTTTATATATTCTTATTCCATCGATCCCAGGTAAGATTCCCATTGGTCTGCTTTGGCTCTTCAAGTAATGCATAAAAAACAGTATTTGACTTCTTCCACATTTTTTCCTGGATCCCTCTGAGAATCCTTGAAGTCACTCTGCCATTTGTCACCCAAATTTCTTTTATACTGATGCAAATAACCAGTGATGCTGGTGCTGGTCAGTCCAGTGTGGAGTAAATTTTTTGCCAAGATAAACTTGGCTCTAACCTGAACTTACAAGCAACCTAACTTGGGCAGGCTGTCACTCTGGGGAGTTGTATACATTAAGTGTTTAATTATTATAGAGGAAAAAAAAACTGCAGTGTAAGTTGTAAGTTAAATTATAAGAAAGAAAAAGGAAGCTGCAGTGTAAGTTGAGAGCCAGATCATAAAGAAAAGATGAATTGAGATCCTTTTGAGGTGACATGGCATGGTGAACTTCCCAGGATTCGAGTGAAGGACATTAACGGGGCATTCCAGGAGCTAGGGCGGATGTGCATGATGCACTTGAACACGGAGAAGGGCCAGACCAAGTTAAGCATCCTGCATCAAACTGTCGAGGTCATCGTGCAACTGGAGCGTCAAGTCAGAGGTTTGTGCTTTCTACCCACCTGCCACAGCATCCAATCTGTTCCATCAGCAAGATTCATGTTAGGTATAAATGTCAGGTGGATGAAGTTTTCCCATGCAGAATCATCTCTCTCTTACTGTGTCTGATTGCCAGATGATACCACTTCATGTCTGAAAGGCTTGATTTCTACTCTTCATCTTGATCCTGGTTCTTTGTCTTCATTGCAACAAGATAGATAGGCTTCACTCTCCAAATTTGTCAGTTCCTAGGTGCCATTTAGAGAATATTCAGAAGAGTATGACTTTGGATGGTTGTGTTGCTCCATAGGAAGTCTCTCTCTCCACCATTGTTAGATGATTAGGAGGAGTCTTGTTCAAGGCAGATCTTGTCTCTTGCCTCCATTGCATGTTGTCAGTGGTACTATATCCATTGACACTTAGTTTCCTTGGATGCATGCCTGGCCATCCTCTTGGGGGAGTATTGTCAATCATGAAATTGACTTTGTGACTGGGGAGTATTCCATCATTGCTTGCGTATAGGATTCGCATTCGAGACATCAACGAGGCATTGAAGGAGCTGGGTCGAATGTGCATGACACATCTCAAGTCCGACAAGCCCCAGACAAAGCTGGGGATCCTCAACATGGCTGTTGAGGTCATCATGCAGCTCGAGCAGCAAGTTCGAGGTACACCCTCTCATCTTCTTGACCAGGGTCCAGGATATTGGATCAACATTGGAGGATGTTTACACTGAGTGATGGTGTTCTTGTAACACTTTATTATTTTGAGGGATTTATTTTTTTGTCAATGTTGTGATCATTTTCCTTGTATATTGTAAAAGGCTCAAGTAATTATGTTCTTTTCTCTGGAAAAGTGCCTTATCCATTTCAGTAATAGGTAGACACCAAATGCTATATGCCAGATTGCCAGATGTGGCAGCAACAGGGTTGCAATTTGTTGAAGAGCTCAATGGTAACTGGGAGGATCAAGTAATAGTACCTGTAATTGACCATCTGGTTTCTGTTCATTTTCTGCACTGGTACCTTCTTGCATTATACACTAATGGCACATGCTTCTCTCTATATGATAGAACGAAACCTGAACCCAAAAGCGGCGTGTCTCAAGCGGAGAGAGGAGGAGAAGGCCGAAGAACCAAAGATGCCTCACATGGCAATTCCTCCACCCATGCCTCCGTACCCTCACATGGTGAGTCCTCTTCCTTCTGACTTTCAAGAAATCATGAACCTGGGCTTTTGAGATGTAAGGTTATGGTTGTTCGTGGTTTCAGGCACCAGGTCCACAACCGCCGCTACCTCAGTAGCCCGAGTGTGTCCAGGGACGCGTGTGCTGGTTGAACCTGCGTGAGAATCATCCCTGAGCGAGACAGACTCAGACGTGGTTCTGTTTTCTCTCCCTCCCATGCATTGTTATACAATTTGTTGAAAACAGACCTTCGCTTTTGGACGATCCCTACGCCAGTGTCTTTCTGGACTGCACCAGCGACAAAACGTGAAAGAAGGAAAGAAAGAAGCTCAATGCTCAATGCATCATCCTCCCCTTCTCCTGTGAGGGATGTCCCTCTCCAGTGTCTCTTCCTCCCTCTTGCTCTCTTTGGCAAGTTTCATTTTAGTTAATTTTTTTTTTTTTTTTTTACCGGGTTCTTCTCCATTCCCGGCACCAGTCCGGACAATTCCGAGTGGCATTACCCGCTAACTGAGGAAGCGACATATCCCCCCAAGTCATGGAAGCTTTTTTGTATTTTTATTTTGAGTTTTTCTCTTGAGCGAGATTTTTGGCATATCTTGGCAGCATATCGAGGTGAGGCAGGATCTTTTATCGCATTTCCGCTGGCAGCCGGCTTTGTCTTCTGTTCAGTTTACATTGCTCAGAGTTTGACGATGATGAGATGATATTAGTCGGACGGGCACTCGTTCCACAAGTGATGATGCCAGAAGAGGGAATGGAAATATTCAAATGTTGATCTCAAAGAATTATTTCTTCCCCTTTTTTTTTCCTTTGCTCCTGATGCCACTCTTTGCATTTACCTGATTTTGTCGTGGGAAGGTCGTGCTGCATTTTTGTTGTTCAAGCTGGAATTGGGGATTTATGAGACGTTATTCTGGGTGTGTGCCTTTTTTATGGAGACTGTATGCTCTGGTTTTTGCTTCATTCTCCTTTCACTTGTGTCAGAGTTCCCTTTGATTTTTGGAATCAAAAGACTGCTTTTGATGACAGCTATTTTTCCCGCCCAAAGGACATCGTAGACCAGATGAAGGAAAATTTCTATGATGAAATTTCGAGTACAGCCCGTCCTGTTGGATACTTTCCATCCTCTTACCCAGTTTCTTGCTCCTTCTGATTGAAGGACTTCCTATTACCCTCCTCTGTTTCCTGGATGCAGCAGAGGTTCTTCATGGACAGAGAAGAAAAGAAAGTCTGTATACTTTGCAGGAATAAAATGTGCCATTTATCATCCCTAGCCTTATTTTATTTATTTTGTGGAACCTACAGAGTTTATTTGCTGAAGATCCTGAAATGATTTGGGAGATTTTATGAACCATTTGACTGGAAACCAATACCTGTACTGAATTTGTGAAAAACACAGTTTTTATTTGCCAGACATGGCAGATGAAACCAGCCATTTGCCTTGTCAACTGCAAGGTGGAGATTAATGTGTAAGTATGTGGTGTTTGCGTTAATTATCCATACCATATTCTGACATGGAATGAACGATCTATTCCCATCAAATCTTGGGTTCGCCATGGTGGAAGGCCTCATAATTCATTCCTTGGGTATTTGTCTTGAAAATTGTTATGCCGAAAGAAGTGCCAGTGATGATTGGGTATTAACACTCCCTGATGAAATTTCCCAACACTCCCACACGCACGATGACTCCCAAATGAAAAAGTTGGCATCGAGCCACGGACGTATCGACACTTGCACATGCCACGAAACGCACATCACCAGACATATGCGCCTCTGGTTGGTGCTTCTCTGCAGTCGACGTTTCGACGAGGCCACTTGCATTGCGCAGTATTTTCCTCTCACGGGACAGGTGCATCTGGGCAATATAAAAAAAAAACCTCTAGACACCAAATTTGTACGACCCTGCTCCACAATTCATTGGAAAGCTATACCTAGACGGCTCAAGGTCTCGAATCGCAGGCCAGATACGGGATGACATCCTTCATGACGTCACCCAAGAGCCTAGCCCATCCGTCCACCCGCTCATTCCCGAGGATGACTCCGGACCGATTCCATGGAGTTTCCTCGAGTTCGTTCTCGTTCTCTCGAGGAATCCGGGAGGATGAATTTGAGTCGATCTGAAGTCGGCCTACCGTGTCTTCTCTGGTCGTTCCCGATTCGCAAGGTTTATGACCGTCATTCGATAAGCATCAGTGCCCTTTATAACCGTTTCACATTATTAATAACTCCATCATTCATGTTCTGTTGGTATCGCATATGTTACGCGAGGATGAATTGTGCCTTTCGTACTTTCCCGAAAGTAGAAACATTATAATGTCTTCCTGCATCCCTCCATCAGGCTCGCCGGTTCAAAGTACTCAACAGTAACATAACAAAGTAGTTATTGGAGGAAAATATAAAACTAACATTTTTATTCCACATAGTGATTCTTTTGATGGGAACATCGTTTTGCTTCCCATCCCTACAAAAATTGTTTTCCTCTAGAAAATGAATGCATTTTTCATTAAAAAGTCCTCACTTCTGAAAAGAAGGCGGCCCTGAAAAGAAGTCTTGTCACCTGTCAAAAGTAATAGACGAGCGGGCGTGGTCAAGGACACACACGTAGCCCATGCATTTGTTCGCCTCATCTTTCTTATGTCTGTCGACTTTGGTTTCAATTCGGTGCGATGTCGACATCAAGTGCATTTTTTAATAACACGCGTAGATGCAGTGATCAACAAGTATCACTTTGGTCCATCAGTACAACAAGCGGCGGCACAAAAATATGAAAATGTGTTTTTAATTAAATTTAATGGGGATTTCCTCAAGGAAAAAATATATTTATCTCGTGTTAAATTCGAATTGATTAACGAAAGTGATTGCATGGAGACGGGAGCGCGGAACACGCTCGGTCGAATATGCCCAAAGCGTGAGACAGATTCCCGCCAGCAGTGGCAGTGGTCCATCCTCGACGTTTGCAGCGATGAGGTCTCCACCGCGGAGCGCGACAGGAAAACTACAAAAAAATATAAGGGGAAAATTTAAAATGCCCGTAATTCGATAGACAATCGAGTCCGAGCAAAAGAAGGATTCGGTTGTTTGTCGAACGAAATCGTCTCAGCCGCGATCGAGTCCGGAAGCTTTGCAAGGACGGGAGACCGTTTGCTGCAACATTTGTGAGCCGACGAGAATGTTTCGAGGTTTTTACCACTTGCGTTTCAAACTTTTAAGATCGATCGTCTCACAAGTTTCGTTCGCTCTGCCGACTTTAATGTACATTTCGTCCTTTAATTTTTAGCAACGACTGATAATTTTGCGATTGCCGCCCGCTTCTCTTTGAAGCGGTCGCCTTATAGAGAATGCAGAATGACTTCGTGCATTTTCCAATTCGCTTTTTAGCGGTTCTGGAATGTGCTGTGAACAGACAAACCAGCACACGAGCGGGGTAGACTGACAAAAAAAAAACATTCCGAAATGTGCAATCCGACGCGCCCGTTGGATTCGTATCTGCATCGAACGAGGTTCGAAATTCGGAAGACTTTTTATTTTTCCCCTCTACTGTATACTGCATATACCTTGTCGAATCAGGACGATTCCCTGCGAAGAGGGATCTTCGCGACATCTCTGCGGTTGCCCGGCATTTGGTTTGTTCCGTATCCTGTAGATGTCGCCGAATAGGAAGACAGTAGCCAATCAGAGGACGAGTTTCTAATCTACGTATTGCAGAACTGCGGCACCGTCTTGAATGTACAGTAACGCAGGCACGGGTTTGTTCTCGTTCTGATCCCGTGTCACAGCCTCTTTTTACTTGCTCGTCAACCCATATACGGGTTAGTTCGCGTATGGATGGGGGAATTCTGTATTTGTTACTCGTTTGGGAATACACAGCTGCACGTTTGCTGCCTGTGAATCTAACGAGGAGTTCAATATTTCGCAGGTGTGAACGTTTAGGTTCCCTGAATCCTGTCGACCGTTTCTTGGCCATACAAGACTGTCCTGTGAGAAAAGATGAGCAAAGATATTTTTCAGTTGAAAGAGTCTTCGCCAGCTCTCCTCGTGGATTTCGCAGAGAAGCGATTGTCCACTTTTAAGAAGCAGGAAGAGTTGGCCCAGGAGCAGGTCAAGTACGTAATGTCCTTGGCAGATCAATAAGTACCTCATTCGTGAGGATGCCATGGTTATAAAAAAAAATACTATTTTTTTTTTCCTCAGACAATTGGTTTATGCCCTTGGCAAGGCAGATAAGGAGAATGAATTCTTCCGCATGAAGCTTCAGGCGCTCGTCGTAGAGGTACGTCAAAGGACTGTCCTAAAGGTCCTCGCATTGCATTTGATCCTTGCCCGCGCCATACCAAATCCATCTCTCATGCGGCAGAACAAAAAGATGCAGAACGGAATAGAAGCACGTCGGCAGGAGAGACAGAGAGCCGAAATGGCCGTGAGCGAAGCGATGCAAGACAGGCAAAAGAATGCGGCCCTGCTGGAAGAAGTCGCCGAACTCAAGCAGAAGATCGAGACGCTGGAGAAGGAGAAGCTCCAGGAGAAATCGGCCTCGCCGAACGAGGAATCGTCTCATTCCGGGAAAAACGTGGAAAACCCGGTGAGACCCGGACGCGATCGCCCTTCGGAACCGAAAGGGAAGACCCAGAGATCTCGACTCGTCCCTTATTCGAAGCAACTTGGACTGACTTCCCACCCATCTCGCATCCAGGTATACAATCCAAGTGAAGATCCAATTTTATGAGATAAATGCTGGACGATGGAAATAACCGTAATGCAGAACAGCTTTCAAGTTCCCACGGAGTCCACAAATTTTCATCCGTAACAACTCGGTTCCTCTGCAAGTACGCGATTGGGGATCTTCTCATTCTCATTCCTTTTCTGACGATCAAGTGGTAATCGGACCTTTAGGCCTTGAGGCCAAGGTACCATTACCATACCTAAGGTCGTATTGAACGCGCAAATTATTTATCCTCCTTCATGATTCACAAAACGTCGATAGCACCAACGAGAACGTCGTAAAAAAAAAACAATAGGTTCTCGATTGGTCTCATGCATGGATATTGCCTCTTCCGAAGGGAAAATCATTCCTTTCCCTTTCACTTTCCCTTCACTGGAACTGGGGCAGCGAGAGTTACCGCTCTCGAGAGCGGGGCAAGGGTAAGGTCAAGGGCAAGAGGGGAAATATTCCTCCTTTCTCTTTGGCTATTATCACCAGATTTCGATAAATGAAGTACCGAGACGGACCCATCCTCTTCCGGGTGTCTCACCTTGCCCCTATTCAACTTCTCACACTGCATTCGCTAGAGAAAAGTGAAAATATCTCCTTGGCATTGACATTCGATTCTGATGTGTAGATGTGTGGTTATCATCTTCGTGATGTGAATTGATTTGCAGTCATGAACGTGTCTAGTTTCCCCCCTCTTAAATTAAACAGATGTCGCACTTTCAAAGCCACTGTCTGAAATCTTCGCTCTTGATCACGCTGAAACTAGAGAAAATTATTGCAAAATCATTACCGTCAGGTGAGGAGAAAGTGAAATGTTGGTCAGAATCCCTTTTCGCGATTCAGCACAGAATGCTTTCCAATGCCTTTTTTAAATTTCGTCTTCCCGAGCGATTCTTGCTCTACAAAGTCTCCGTTCCTTGCATTTGCGGCCGTGATCCTACGCAATTCGAATAAGAGCGAGCTATTATGACGCCCCGATTGCCAATTTCTACGTCGTTGTTCCTCTTTCATGCTTACATTTCAGCCGCCCCCGGAGAAGCGTCCATTCGAGCCCAGCGGAAATAAGAATGTGAAGCGCCAGATGCCTTGTCCCACGATAAAGGTACGATAACAGAAACATTACCGTTTTTCTTTGTTTGTTTTTTTTTTGGGTGGGGGCGAGACGAATAGACACCACTCTAAATATAACATCGTCCGATCCGTGAAGAAACCAGCTTACAAAGGTGAATACCCCGCGCAGGGCCGAGTTGAGGCGACGGAGGATGCGAAGCTCAACTTCACTCCGATCCTCATCACCATCGAAGAATGAATTTGTTAATGATGAGTGCATTAATGATAATTATGCACTCTTCTTCATCTGTAGACCTGAAGTTCGATGCTCTGAACTGTCGCTGGACGATTTCGTATTCTTGATGTTCCCTTCGGTGCCATCAAAATAAATTACCATCTTGCTTGAGATGGAGTTTCATTTTCATCGTGTGAAACTCGAAAAGATTTGAACGAATTCAAAGGATGAACCAATTTCCACGAAGTGACGTCGTCTCCCAAATGCATTCGCTTGAT